ATAAAATCTGAAACCACTTGGTGATAATCTGCAAGTTGTCAATAAAACATTTTGTAGTGCATAATGAGCCCCTAAGACACTCTTTTAGGACATAAAGTGTAATTTCAATGGATTCAAAACAATTAACTTCTACACATGCAAGTAATATAATTCCTAAAACAAAACACAAAATATAATTTACAAAGAAATACTAAGGGTCTCCACATGAACAAAACATCAAATGAGTATAACGAATCTGTAGAGAAACAAGCAATTTACTATAGAAACCTTCCCCAAAACCTTATATTTGAACAATAAATTCATTGACCCATTATATATATTTCAACAAAATCATGAGGAGAATTCAGTCCATAGCTTCAAATGATTTCATCTTTCAATATTTGTATAATTATATTGTACTACTTGAATCTCCCACCTTGCATCAACATACTCAATATTTGTCTCGACATCCACAGCTAAGGAGTAAGTAATCTTTTACCTGACATCAATTTATAGCAATGCATCACATTTGGTGCTGATAAAGCACGTACTTGTAATTCATAATGAACAACATCAATCTATACATTAACCCCCACCACTAAAGACTTAAGGGTGGAGCCAAAAATAGATAGAGGTAAGTAGCAAGAGGAAAAGAAGTTGACTCTTGTTAAACATGTTATTAGTACCAAAAACCAATATTCAATAAAGAATGTCGAGATCAGAATGACAAATCAAACAAGTTAAAACAAGCATCCTAACAAAGAAATAATAGAATGACAACTAGAAATATCAACCTCAAGTATATTAAGTAGTATATGATTTTATACAACTTGGACAGGTTAATGAACTTTCTAAAGTTCGATAAAGATGGTTCTACAAAGTTAGCAGAGATAAATGCCAGAATATTTCATTGAAACTTTTTATCAAACACATTGTGGGCATGAGAGAAAAATGAATTCTTACCCTAAAGTATTCTGATGAACACCATAAATTCGAAATGTCAATCACATTTGGTATGCTGAACGGTAAGCTAAGGGACTGGATCTCATTATGATCCACTAATGAATTAGTTCCCACCAAATCATCACAATTTCCTTGGACCAGATATTTCCCTTCTAGTGCACATAGAATCTGAAAGGAAAAGTAAGGAGAAAGAAAGTAGTCAGTACAACCATGAATTGAAGAAACATACATTTCACTTCAAAAAAATACAATATAAACCTAAATTAACATTAAAAAAAGAAGAGAGTTATTACCTAATGAGTTACAGTTGAGGAGCCATTACTGGAAGAGCAATTTGGTGTAGGCCGTAGGTATGGGTTGCGTTGGTGGCTAATGGGAGTGCAGAAGAAAAGAAAAGAAACGAGTGAGAAAAGAAGAAAGAGCGAGAAGAAAGAGGAAAGGGAATGAACGGAAGGAGGGCTGGAGACGGAAGAGAAAGGGTAAAAGGAAGTAAGGTAAAAAATAAAACGCTTTTATAGCGTGTACTAGCGTGTACATTTGGTGGGTACAAGAAGCAAAATTGAATAATTATTATTAAAATCACTAGGTAATTATAGTAGTGTTGTTCTAAAACTCTTATCGAAATATAGTATAAAAGCGTTAAAATTAAAGAAAGTATTCACATAACAATTAAGTAGTTAATTTGGTTTTGTGTGCGCATGCTTAAGCAGACGTTCATGGTTCAGAACCCTCTGGCAGTCAATGTTTTTTATTGAAGAAATGCAGTTATTAGGCAAGTTTCGTTAAATTTTCGAGTTTCCAATGGTCTAGGTCCGCTCCATGTTAGAGCGGGTCGCCTGTTATTTCCGGTTTAATACATATTAGCGGGTTACCTATCAATCGAAACCGATTTTGGGGTTGAGTTCTGTGTCGAAACTTCCTGTCCGGACCATTCTCACAACACAGAGTATATGTTGCGACTACTTTTTATATCTTATATAAACTCTCAAACGAGACATTAGAGATAAAAGCAATTATATAAATATAAGGCTGAATTGTAGTATTTACTAGATGACAAATCTTCATGTCAGGCCGGCCTGACGGGATGTTCCGTCCGGCTGAGCCCGTTTGGGCACTTTCCCGGTAGAATTTTTTGATGAAAATTTTTGAGCATGTTCTTCATCAAGTCTAGTTTGTGCATACCAAATTTCAGCTCAAAATTCGATCGGGAAGACATTCAAATCATTTTTTGAAGTTGACTGCAGTTTTATATGTATATTTTGATGCAGTCAACTTCAAAAAAAGATTTGAATGCCTTTCGGATCAAATTTTGAACTGAAATTTTGATGAGGAACATGCTCAAAAAATTTCATCAAAAAATTCCACCGGGAAGGTGCCCAAACGGGCTCGGCCGGACGGAGCATCCCGTCAGGCCGGCCTGACAAGAAGACCTTGGTAGCAACTATTTATATTAAACTATTTATATTAAACTTTTCAATAGTAGCAACTATGCAAGACCTTGGTTTCTGTCTACAAAGGACCTTGGGTCCTCAAAGCACCGTGTTCACTCTCCTCGAGAAAAATGAAAGTTATATCCATTGGCGAAGAGCGATTTACTCAGTTAATTACTTGATTCTCAGTATCGTACTAATATTTAAAGTGATTTGCTCAAGGGACAAATACAGTGTTGACGACTAACAATATGTCATAAAAAAGAATAAATAACAGAAACACAAAAACCTAAAAAATAGATGTTATAAGTAAAATTTAGGCCTTTTTACTCCAATATTACTAAAAATAGGATAAAAGATAAAAAAGTGATCTATTTTTTAAAATTCTAAAAATGTGACCAACATCACAATTAACCCTGCAGTGTAAACTGTAAAGTGACTCCGGACAAAGTGACTCCGGCCAAAGTGACCCCACCGAACACAGTGACTGCCCCGCCGGGCCCTGCCGCCACAGTGACTGCCCCGCCGCCACAGTGACTGCCCCACCGCCACAGTGACTGCCCCACTGCCACAGTGACTCCGGCCACAGCGACTCCGGTCACAATGACTCCAGTCATAGTGACTCCTCCGCCGCAAAGTGACTCCGCCGCCGCAGTGATTGCCGCACCAGCCAAAGTGACTGCCCCACCGGACCACTGCAGCCGCCCCTCGTGAGTGGCTGACGCGGCTCCCTCGTTAGTGACTGCCGCCGCCCCAACGTTAGTGACTGTCGCCGCCACATCGTCAGTGACTGCCGCTGGCCCTTGTTAATGACTGTCGTCGCCTCCGCAACTGTACACCACCACGAGTGCCACCACCGGCCACTGCAACCGACCACCACTGCTCTGGTCAGCAAATGCTCACCAGCCCTCAGCCACTGCCCCACGTCGCCACAGCCCCCCTCCTTTCATCACCCAGCCGCTGCCTCACCCAACCCCCTCCCCTGCGACACCCAACCCCCTACCAGTCCAGCACCACCACGCCTCAGTCCCTCTAGCATCACCACACCCCAACCCCTCTGGCACCAGGCAACCACGTCGTAGTTATTGGTGTGTTAGCACCGCCTCCGTCCCAACCGGCCACCACTATAGATCTATAGTTCTAGCTTCATTGCAGATCTGAAACATAGTCACCACACTAAATCTGAACAAGAGAGGACGTAGAAACACCATAGGAAGGAGAAGAATAACTGGATCTAATATCATACTAATTCGATTTCGTTGTTTTTGTTGAGGTTGGAGTCGCCGTTAATGGAGTCTCACCGCCATCACTCAATCGCTGGAGTTCGCCGCAACATGGATTTCATCTGTGAGGTGAAGAGCTGCTGAGATTGGGGGCGGAGGGCGTTGGAGCTTCGCGTCTTGCATCCATGGCAGCTCATGGCAGCTCTGGTCGTGCCTTAAAACGTCGAACGAAGAGAGAAGGAAGGCAGCGTCGAATGAAGAAAGAGGCAAGCATCGGCTCAGTTTTTTGGGAAAATTGAGAAAAGTCATAAATTTAGAAATCAGAAGTCAATTAGTGATACACGTGCAATTTTTTCTAAAATTTAACGTACAACTCAGATACTCCGTATAATTTTAAAATACATTAACACATTTTACATACAAAAAACCATTCTTAAAAGATTAGTTCTTTCTGTGTGACAAAATGGTCAAAATGGTACATAAAGTTGTATCGACCGGAGTAAGTAATACTCCATCTTGCATTTGAAATTTTATAGTACATGAACTTGTATTTTTATAATCAATCAAGTACATTTGCTCTATCAGAACGTTAAAACTTAAAATAGCTAACATGGTCAAACTATCCATTTGTATTATACATTTGCAGTCCAAGTCATCAAATAATTAATTTATAAACTATAATTTCCTTCATTTCACTCGTTTCCACCTTCGCCCTTCATTTTATATTTCTCACATTTGCTCTCCCTTCTCTCACTCTTCATCTTATATTTCTCTCGTCTACTATTCAAGGGCGGAGTCACGAGTCACGACATTGGGCCGAACTGGAGCGGTATAAAGAATATTTTTGGGAAAAAATTACACAAAATTTTTACTTTAAAATTAAAGCATTTTTAAAATTTGAGATGGGTCAGGGCCTAGGCTGCCCCCTCTTGCTCCGCGCGTGTTACTCTCCTTCTCTTTTCGTCTTCTCCCCTGCTATCCCACTGACTTCTTTTATTTGCTATCGGTCCATCTTTATTATAGCAGGAGAAGAAGAAAATAAAATAGAGCAAAAAGAAGAAACCGACAGGATAGCGGGGAGAGCAGACGGGAGAATATAAGATGTAGAGTGAAAAGAAAGGAGAGCAGATGAGAAAAATATAAGATGCAGAGCGAAGGTGAAAACGAGTGGACCGGAGGAAAATAGAATTTAAGATTAATTATTTGGTGACTTAGACTGTAACTGTATAATACAAACAGATAGTTTGGTCAGGTAGACTATTTTAACGTTCTGATAGAGTAAATGAACTTGATTGACTATAAAAGGAAATACACGTTTATATACTTTAAAATTTCAAATGCAAAATGAAATAGTACTTACATCCATCTATACAACTTTATGTACCAAACACAAACTCAGGAGTATAGCATTGAACATATGTTTGCAGTTAGTTTTTGTTCTGATACAAATACGGAGTTTTTTTTCTAAATGTACCAGTGCTGTACAAAAATGTTACGAACAAGCTTTTATTTCCCATTATTATGATTGCTATTATAATCTTTAAACGTCTGCCCTTTTTAGGAAGTCGTCACAGTCTGTTCTAGGAATCTGGTGACCAAAGCTAATTCGAGAAGTTAGTTACATGATCCGAGTAAATTCATCTTTGGAGTGTTTATGATGGAATAGACTTGAAATTCCGATTCGATCAGCATGCTGCTGCTTCAATAACCTTCTGCAATTCTATTCTTCTATGTTTATGTTACATTTGTGAGAATAATGTTCTCTAAATGAACGCCTTTTCTTGTAGTTATTTAGTTGTGTTCATTGTTTAACTTTAATTTCCCAGGTTTGTTCTTCTTAATCCTTAGTCACCCTCTTCGGGTTGACATGATTTAGTACTAGAAGTTATTTGTAGCTCATAGTGAAACATGGACTGATGTGGAGTAAGGATGTCGTTTCTAAAGAGTCAGTGTCTATAAACCTAGATTAGAGAGCAAAGTACAGTGCTCTGTTCTTCAGGATGGATGTCGGAGGACATCACCAGTACAGACTGAAAAGGAATCTAGCATATGAAGAATCTAGTCAAAACCCAAGGCATGACACTTGGAGATACACACGAAGCCCTAGGCTCCATGAGAGCAGATTCCATGAGCCTCGTGGTAGATTCCATGAGCCTCGTGGTAGGCAAGGTGTGCAGATGTGGAAACTTTTGTTTACTTGAGCATGGTAGCATTTTAGATTCCTACCTTGGCGGGAAAAGCGTTTTACAAGACCGATGCTGTGTTGTGCAGGAATTAGATTGGAATATGATCGTGATTTGGGTCTTCAGCGACCAAGGCAATCATATCAAGCTTCTCAGGGACGTGATTCTAGATTCAAGCACAACAGAGTCAGTTTGTTTGACCCTCTTAGCGTCCCCTATGGTGGGTTCTCAAATCACACTTATTCTGCTTTTCTTTAACCCGTGAAACTGTTGTTGTCAAGTCTTGGAAGTTTCTGTTAGTAGGCCTCCAGTTTCACTCAGATGCAGAGCCGTTTTACTAGTCTTTAATGGCTAGAAATCCTAGAGTGACGCTATTGAGTTTCATTTGTAATGATTGTGTGCAGGCTGGTCAAGCTGCCCTCCCTATGGTGATAACATAGGCTATATAATCCCATCAAAAGTTCCTCTTACTGAGTCTTTCAACAAGAATATTAGCCGCATCAAAAGATACACCCCAAGTCAAGCCATTTATGAACAAAAGTGCCTATGCAGAGAAGTAAGATTTACTATGTTAATATTTTCTAAAGTAGCATGGGCTTGGGAATATGCTATCTATTTCTGGAATTTTTGGGTTGCGATTTATTTACTGACATTCTTCGTTGTATTTTTTTCTTCAAAAGCCATTTGTAATTTGCATCAAATTTGTTTTGTTCATTGATTTCTCAGATAGGTTTAGTTATTGATTTAACAAACACATATCGCTATTATCCAGAATCAGATTGGACAAGCCAGGGTATTAAATATGTTAAGGTAACAACCATTCTACACGTGCAAGCCCTTGCTTCACATTAGATGGGTTTTGGGTTGACAGATGGCATTTTTGTTTTTGCAGATCAGATGTCCAGGTAAGGACATTCCTGATAATGACACTGTCAATAAATTTGTCGATGAGGTACTTTTGCATGCTAGCAGGAGCAGTGGTTTTAAACCTTTTTTTGCACTTTTGTATTTCTTGTACTTGCTTTTTTTTTAACCCGGTCGGCAAACCACCAAAATCAGTGGGACAAATGCCGGGGAACATTTGCCGATGTTTTATTAGATAAAATCATGAGTACAGGTGAGAGGGGAGCTAGGTCAAAAACCTCTCAGTAGGGGTATGCCCCTATGAAAAAACATGATGCAGAAGAAAAAAATGAGATGAAAATTGGGGGGGGGGGGGCTAGACCTGACCCAATTTTTACAAATAAAAAACAAATTACGGATAAAATCTAAAATAAGAAACAGGAAGTTGATGATTATGATAAAAAATCTGGAAACCAACTACTGAAATCTGTTCTTTGTGTTCTTTTAATCCCACTTGACATGCTAACTTTATGCCTTGTCTGACACTTTGACTTGGAGCTTATCTCTGCAGATTCTTTTAATTTCAGGTCACCAAATTTAGATGTCAGCATGAGCACTCAAATAAGTATGTTCTTGTTCATTGCACACATGGCTACAACCGTACAGGCTACATGATTGTTCATTTTCTTGTACGTAACGAAAAGATTACAGTATCCGAGGTGGGCAGATAATAATTTATTGGTCACCAAAACGTGTGTCTTTTAAACTTCTGATGCCCCTATACACTCCCTTAAAAGTGCTGTCTTTTCCCCTGATGGCGCAGGCTATCACTATATTTTCCAATGCACGTAGTCCTGGAATTTACAAGCATGAATACATAGATGCATTGTACCGTCATTATCTTGAAATGAAACCTGAAGTTGTTGATTATCCTAAAACTCCTGAATGGAAGAAGCAATCTGATCAGAAGGAAGATGCTACTGTTACTTCATCTGTACGTGCACTGTATACTCTTTGCTGGATGTATTTGTTTTATGAGGGAATTTTAAGACTGTTTACCATGCTTTAGTCTTCACTTTTCTATTCATACAAGCCATATTTTGGAAAAGAGAACTTTGGGAGTTTGGGGTCTCAACAGAACCCAACCCTAGGAAGCTTGGGGCGTGAACAAAAATCTCAAAATTTTCTATTCTTTCATCACCAATGATGTTCTGAAAAATATACGGAGTAACATATAACAGCAAGGTTTAAAAGGGCTAGTTCGAGTATCGAGGCAGTTTGTTCCGGAGAGGTGAGGCATAAGCCTGGAGGCGTAAGTCTCAAAGTATATCAACAAATTAAACTTAAAGAAGTTAAACTACCAAACTGTAATAAACAACTAAAGAAATGCGCAATTTTAGATCCAAAAAGTCTCAAACACAAGCACAAATATGAACACACGCCATTCATCATGAGATGGCAAATCATCAGCCAAAAGATTATCCTCATTATTGGTTAGGGATCTTAATTTAAGGTGTCTGTCTTTACGTATTTTATAAAACCTTGGCCAGTTCAAGGAGAACATGACCAACAACTTAGTACAAGAAGGAGAGGAGCGAAGGAGAAGAAGAGAAGGAGAGAAGATGGAGAAGGAGAAGATAAGTAGAAGAAGAGGAGGGACAGATTAGGAAAAGGGGATGAAGTAGAACTGTAGAAGAGAGGAGTAGAGAAGTTACCTTGGAAGAATGGTGTGTTTGTAAGAAGTTGTCAACTTCCTTGTGCAGAAGTATGCAAATATTTTAGTCATTAATGAATATTTTAAATGAAACAAGACTTGTTAGGGGTTTAGTGTGGACTAACGACACATGTTTAATGAATGGGCTTTTTGTTAAGTAAAATGCACTTTGCCTTTGCTAAGTGACAACCGATTAAAAAGATAGAAACAAAGGAAATCACGCCTCAGAAAACGCCTCAAGGTGCGCGCCTAGGCCGCTTGACCTGTGAAAAACCTTTGAGGCATAAGCCGCTTGACCAGTGAAAAACCTAATCCCTGATACCTTCTCTGTATGCCTCTCCTTGACTAAAAAGAAAACATATGCAATATATTTATAACAGTATCATGTTTGGAATATGTGGCCCTCTGCTGCTTCATCTTGTTCATTTAAACCCAGCTATATGAGTTCCTATCTCGACGCTTGAGGACCTTTGGGACTCCGATGAAAATCGGAATATTTGTGAAAAAACTTTGTTTGTCACGAGAGAAAACTGTTTGCCCACAGGTAATTTGAATACTAAAACTAAAATGTATAGGAAGAAGAATCAACGATCACATCTTATGAGGACAAGATCACAAACACGCGTGGGACTTTGAAGACGTGTGAGATCACTCGGGGTTTTTAGGATTAACTGATTAAGCAATTTTGGGTTGGGTGTTTTCTTGTATTTTTTGTTCTATTTGCTTTCAGTTATTTTATTTCTATTTCTCATTTGTACTTCTTCTTTCTTATTTTAATAAATTTTTTTGCCACAAAAAAAACTCATCCACTCAATTGGTGTGTAACCTTTCGGTTAATTCCATCATGGGGAAAACGATTGGCATTGGACATGAGTGACAAGGCCTCTACCACTTCGACCTCCTGATTTAGTCTCTTTTGTGTACACCAAATCTCCCGCTCTCATCCATAACCATTGGAGGCATCCGAGTATCTTTAAACTTTGTCGAGTGGTTCTGTGTCCATCTACATTTGAGTCCTTTGATCGCCAGTCTGCCCTCAAGAAGAGTCTATAATCGGGCTACATCCTCATTTGATACTCCACACAAACAAATGGGGTCTATGTATTGTTCATTGATGGATTTTCATTTCTTTGTATTGTTTGTTGATGACCGTTAGAGATGCAAGTGTGTATTCTTAACTAAAAGAACAATATGAGTTTTTAACTTGTTGATAACTAAGAGTATATGTATATCAATTTTTTGTGCTTAAATAGGAAATCAGTTGAAAAATACCATTTGTGTTCTGTATGCTGATACTGCATAAGAAGAGTGGAAGGCTTATCAGGTGGATGGCTTCCCCATTACATGTCACTTAGTAAATAGGATGCTGTCCTTTGCGGTTACTAATGAAGACCATACTCCGTCTTGTTTCCATCTCTTGATCTTTTTCGTCTCCCACCAAATACCTTTGGCTCATGTTTTGTTTAAAACTAATGTCCAAAGCCATCATATATGTTATTATGTTTCCCTAAGATATTCCCTTCTCCAGAAAGGCTATTGGTGTTATTCCCCAGAACTCAGGCGTCGGCTTTGTTTCTGCCGATGTCACATTCATTAATCTTCATTTTAGTTCACCTCACTTGATATATCTCTTATGGTCTGAAGCACCACTTGCATTACACTACAATGCCTATATAAACAAAACTGCCATTATAGGTTACACTACATATGAACACTCCATCTCCTCACTCTGGTCCACCACCAGTCACCACCTACCATTTCTGCATTTGAAGTCCTTCCTATGCTACCTTATAATGCATATCCCATCAGTCTCTCTTTTCTCACAACATGCAAAACAGCCATTACAGGTTTGCCACTGTCACACGCTCTTCAGTTTCTGACTCTAGACCCACCACCGCTGCTCATTTTGATATTTAAGAATAGTGATGCACCCATTGCAATAAGGAAAGGTGTTCGCTCTACTCAATATCATCATCCCAATTTCCCTTTTTGATCTACCATCACAATTTGCACTTCTTATTATGCATTACATACCCGTCCAATCGTCCACGCTTTGAATTTATTCCTAAACACACCCTTGAGGCTCTTGCAGTTCTAGGTTGGCTATAATCAATAGGCTATGTTGACTGAGGTGGAGGTTTTACAGTCAGACTTGGGAACTAGTTCCTCTTCCACCCAGTAAGTGTGTTATTTGTTGCAGATGAGTTTGGAATTGTACTGTCAAAATTGTGCTAGATGGAATGGTTGATCAGCTCAAGGTTCGTCTAATTGCTAAATGGTTCACAAATATACGGTTAGGAAGACACTGATACTTTTTCTTTCTTCAAGGTGATCTTCACAAGGAAGTTCATATGGAGCAACCCCGAGGTTTTGTTGCTAAGGGGAGTGCTCTGGTAAAGTATGCAATCTAAAATGGCCTCTATGGACTGAAACAATCCCCACTGGCTTGGTTCAGACATTTTAGTACTGTGTTAAAGAATGCCATTATTCACAACAAGATCGATTAGTCTGTTTTATCATCATTTCAACAATGAGAGATGTTTCTACCTCATAGTATATGTTTTTGACACCGCGAACACTGGAAATATTTTTTTTTGTGGCGTTGAGGTGGCCTAATAAAAAGACGGCATTATAACTTCTTGGTGAGAATAAGCCTTGGATATGCTTGATGGTAACATATTGCTTGATTCAATTATCAAACCAGCGGTACCATTATCTAATTCAGACTTCAGAGTGATGCATGAGTATAATTGGAAGTGTTAGTTATCTCAATATCACTCGACTCGATAATAAAAACAAAGGGCACTCCTTAGTGCTAGGATACTTGTGCTAATTGGGTACGTTCTCCCATTTTCAGATGCTCAACTTCTCGATCTTATACTTTGCTAATACTGCGCTATCGTTGCATAGATTCAATGCAGAAGCTGAATACTGCACTATTACCAAGGGTATCTTGGACATTCACATCCCATATTTTCATACATTTCAATATTTCATGCTTCGTTTAAGGACTCACACCCTTCCGGTTGGCCAACCATGGAGCATCAAATACTCTTAAAAACTCATGCAAATTTGTTGTGACATTCATATATGCCCAAACTGCCTTCCATAACATGATAAATATTTGGTTTAGAAAATATGAGAGTAAAAAATAGTTGGGTTGAACCCATGGATAGTCAAAGAGATATGACAACTAGGATTCTCTCTATTCATGAATAAAAATGTTTCTCATTTCACCACCTTGGCCTCTATTGAGTAATTTATCATGGTGCTGTTTGCATCTAATCTAAGAATTCTTCTTTTTTATAGCTCAAGAAAACTTTCATTGTTTCTGTGTTATGTGATACCTGATTGGTACCTCTGGATAGAGAATCTATATGGAAAGCTTTTTAATTCGTTTGTCAATAAATCCGGAAATCATGTATTTGCCTCTCAAATACAATATGTTATCCGCTTTATGAGTCAGGGTATCATGTATTTGCGTTTCAAATACAATTGTTTGCAATAAGTCAAGAAATCATGTGTTCTTTGTCACCCATTGTTGCAGTCTACTGCTGCAGCTGTGTCTATATTCAATGATGCTGATCTGCGAGATCGTATTCCATTTGTAGAGATTGAGAAAATGAGGCATTTCTGCAATTCTGCACTGGACTTGCTTGGACAGGTATGCATTTAATCATTTTTCTTTCATTTATATTCAATATTATTAGGAATAGTGTAGTCTTGCTTTTGACTACGAAGCATGGAAACTTCCTAGAAAGAGTTCTGTTTTCATTTCGGAATCTCTTAGAAATTCTCCAAATACTTGTTTTTGGAATTTCCCATTTCACGTTTCCCCATGTTTCCCTTCAACACAGGCTTCTGATTTGGGAATTGATGCAAATGTATCTTACAGATACTTCTTGCTCCCTTGTTGAAAATTAAAAGCAATATTAAAGCATTGATTACCATTTTAATTGGCTATGCATGGTCAAGATTTCTTGTCCACCACAGTTCAGTTCAGTACTTGCTTTGTATTATGTGCTTTTATTGTGATTCTTTCGAAGAATAATTGAAACTTAATATCCCCAGGCTTGGCAAAACACAGAGTTTCCTGGGTCACTTCACATTCCTCTAACCAGGTGACGATTGTTGAGTTGCATATTCTTTTTCAGAATAATTTTTCATCACACTCTAATGCATTGGACATTAAACAATTCTAGATTTCCTCTGGTAATCCATTTATGTTTTTTGCTCTGTTTTTTGAATTGTGAACTGGGAAGCGCTCCTTACTAAAATATCCTGCATTTTCTACTTCACTAAAAATTTGTTCATCACAACACTCATGTGGAATCACTAAAAATATCCTGCATTTTCTACTTCTGCTTGTGTGGATATTAAGCGTTCACTCTTTTGCATTTTGTTAGACACATGTCCGTTTTTGTCTGTTCCTGGAGTATGTTTGCTTTCCTAATTTAAACCCTGCTAAACTTTTATTACTCCCTCTGTCTCAAAGTGCAAGTTATATAATTATATTGGATTTGATACAAGTTTTAATAAAACGAATGATATATTTGTTCATTTACAAATGTAACTTTCAAAAAGTAAGAAAAGTAGTATGATCCATAAAAAGTAAAAACTGTAATGATAGATAAAGCGATAAAGTGGGAAAGTAAAAAGTTAGTGGTGCTCAATGTAGTGAAGTGTTCATATTTTTGGAACAACTGAAAAGGCAAGTATCATTTCATGTAAAGACTATTACAAAAGAAGGGGTTGAAACTCATTATACACAATATGCCAACATATATCCCATACTTCTTATTCTCTTTACATAATGTAAACTCCATAGCTTGAGCTATGCAAAGGCAATGTATATGTGCAGTGGCGGATCTAGCACTTGCAATTTGAGTGTTCAAAGTTACTTTAAAATTTAGAATTAAGAATTGCTATTGGCTCCTTTTAGAATTGATATTAATTAGTAATACTTACATAAATGAAGTAAATTTTTCTCAATAAATCCTTGAAATCAACAGAAACTATTTATGCAAAAATCATACTCGGATTCAACAGATAAATTAAGCAAAAAATTAAGCAAATGTTGAGTAAAACACCCATATATTGAGCAAAAACTTTAAGCAAAATTATATTGTCGACATCAAGAGTTCGGACATTCAATTTGTATAAAATGTTTTCAATCCACTAAATCTGACATCATATATTCCAATACTTTCAAGGCAACTAGGCAAGTAGTGACTAGTGGGAAATGGGAATTAGAAAATGAATTTATAAATTTCATACGGAGTACTATATAGATTTACAAAAACTAGGTCTAACCACTAACGTGGAGTGGAGGCGTCAGGCATGATCGCGAGAAGAGGATGCCATGGTGGAACTGTTTACCTTCAACCCGTGGATTAAGGAGACTAGAGTACCGTTGGTGGACTGATGGCGACGGAAACCATTGCAACTCGCGAGATGGAGAAAATCCAAGGCTGGGAATCTGGAGCTCGTGACTAGGGAGATGGAACTCTCGACAAATGATAGAGCACCGTCGGGCGTCGGGTGGCGGCAACAGGAATGCTGAAGCAAAGCAAAGATGTGCGGTGGCCACTAGAGTCTGAAGGAGACAACACCCTGCCGGCGTCTACGACAGTTCGAAATTTTTAGAAAAAACTAAAATGACGTACTTATGGTAAAGAAAACTGATTTTTTTTGGGTGTTCATGTGCATAGTCTTGAACAACACTGGATCCGCCCCTGTATATGTGCTGGTTGTATAGAACAAGGAGAGCTTTTGCATGTTACCTCCTGATAAAGTCTTGTAGTTTTTCATTTCGGGTTGCCACACAAATATCTTCATGTCTTTCACTTATTCTGCAATTCATGGTTGTTGTTTCCTTATATGTGCTTTGCATGAGTGGTGTTTATTAAACCCATATCGTCGGACAGACTAATTTACACCAGCACATACACTGAAGCTTCTATGTCTTATGAGTGTTATAGAAATATGTTAAACCAAAGAAGTCAATGATCTGAAATTTGTTAAAGAAAAGAGCCAAGAGCATTAGCAATATAAATCCCTCTTTGCTTTTAATATAAACAAAAACTGTTGGTGAGACTGATAGTGCTGTGAATCTGATTTCCTTGAAGCTCAATCATAACTCTTTTTGGATATCGATGGAACCATCTAATTTATGTCATACTAGTGTGCTTTCATTGTTTATTTACCATAGTTATTCAAATTTTGCAGGAACAACTTACACCTTCTTAGGCAGCAGTGTTACCATTTCACGTGGAAAGGTTACGGGACAAGACATATGATGCTAATAACTCGTGATGCTTCCTATTTGATAGATAGAAACTTTCATTTCCGAAAGGTCCAATTGCGCTTTCCTTGCAATGAGGTAAAAGACTTACAAGCTGCTAAGTCATCTAATCATGAGGTTTGAATTTTCTTACTATTTATTGGTCGATGTTTGCATCTTCTGCCTGGTAGGGTATATCCGAAGTTACTCATCATTACACGTTACTAGATGGTGAAATGGTATTTGACACTGAACAAGAAACACAGAAAAGGAGAAGATACCTCATACATGATATCATAGCAATTAATGAAGTATCTGTTGCCAAGGTATATCACTTCCCATATATTTCTCTTTGATGGATGAAAGAATTGATCTAGAAACATGTTTGCAAATACTCAACGGTAGTACTCTTCTTTTTCTAAGGAGGAAATTCCTTGTCTAAACCCATTTCTAATTTGACCATATTTAGGATATTTTTAATTGGCTGAATTTTTCTGGTCTGGTATGATTTGGTCTGTTTAAGTCCGGTCTGAACTGAACTAGTGTTTTATGTGTATTTTACAACTGGCAAAGTCTGGTCTAGTTTGGTCTGGTTTGGTACTTTGGTCTGTTTAAGTCTGGTCTGAACTGAACTAGTGTTTTATGTGTATTTTACAACTGGCAAAGTTTGTTCTAGTTTGTTCTGGTTTTTTAAGTCTAGTTTTGTACTTTGGTCTGGGACCGAAACCATTCCAATTAAAAACATTTTTAGTCCCATTGACTATTGAGACATTTGTCATATTTTGCTCTTTAAATGTGACAACATTTAGTCCGCTAACTTTATACTGACATTGCTATAATTTATCCTAATTTAATTTGACATAATTAAATTAAGGATATTTGTTCAAGCTTAAAGTGTGTAAGAACATGCGGAGGCGTGATAAAGAAGATTTACCATCACGATGGGGCTTCATTAAGGATGAGCAATAGCGAGATATATGCTTGTAGATGATATCATGTTAGTTGATGAGTCCAAAAAAGGATAGGTGCTACATTGGATAAGGAGATAAATGGAGTATTTGGAGAGCAGTTTTTGCAGAACTAAATAAAAAAATGAAGTGGGTGAATTCGATGGAAAGAAGTTAAATGTAATCCAAGAGAGGTAAGAACTTGTCTATAAGTCAGGAGTATTAGGGAGGATTTAGAACTGAATGAGGCTATAGCCCCTATAGAGCTAAGACATCTATGGGGTATGAGCTAGATGTCACAGATAGAAGTATAACGAACAAAATCAATGTGACGTCGGTGGAGATAAAATTTGTTTGAGGTTTGTAGAGAAACATGTTATACCTTTTGAAGCTGAGAGTAACTGAGTAACCGAGAAAGAAAAGTTTAACGGAATTGGCACAAACTTTGAAACTCCTTGGACTCTAGGAGTTTGTTCTAAATTGTAGGTTTTAGGAATATAATTTCCTTGAATAATAATGCCAATCGGCCAGGGTATTTATACAAATATACAAGCAACTAATCAGCTAATTTAGATCCTAAAAAATAGGATCTTGATTGCTACGTGATTATCTCTAATTTACAGCTAGTATTCTAATCCATTCGGCTAACTAAGTACACAAAAATTAAATCATGTAACATTTTCTACAATAATGTAACATTTTCTACACTCCCCCTCAAGTTGGTGAATATATATCATACATTCCCAACTTGTTTATAAGCAGCTCGAACACAGGTTTAAATAACCCTTTGGTGAGGATGTCAGCTGTTTGATCTTTGGTAGATACAAATGGTGTGCAAATAATTCCAGCCTCTATCTTCTCCTTTATGAAGTGCCTGTCCACTTCAATATGCTTAGTTCGATCATGTAGTACAGGATTATGAGCAATGCTTATAGCTGCTTTATTATCACAATACAACTTCATAGGCAGTTCCATCTCCATCTTCAGTTCTGCCATTATTCTCTTGATCCAGAGTAATTCACATATTCCATTGGCCATAGATCTGAATTCTGATTCTGCACTACTTCTAGCAACCACATTTTGTTTCTTACTTCTCCAAGTTACTAAGTTTCCCCATACATAGGTACAATACCCAGAAGTAGACCTCCTGTCAGATATGGAGCCAGCATAATCTGCATCAGTATAGGCTTCAATTGTTCTACTGATTCCCTTTTTGAAAAATAATCCTTTCCCTGGGCAGCTCTTCAGGTACCTTAGAATTCTGTAGGTAGCATCAAGATGTTCCTGGAAAGGATTATGCATAAACTGGCTCACCATGCTTACTGCAAATGCAATATCTGGCCTTGTATGTGCCAGATATATTAGTCTTCCCACTAATCTTTGATATTGGTGAATATCAACTGGGATTCCCTCTTTGACATCTCCCAACTTCTGACCTGGATCAATTGGAGTGTCTGCTGGTTTGCATGCACTCATCCCAGTTTCCTGCAGAAGATCTAAGATATACTTCCTTTGTGAGACAACAATACCCTTTTTTGATCTAGCTATCTCCATTCCCAGAAAGTATTTTAAATCTCCTAGGTCTTTTACTTCAAATTCATGGGCAAGCTTTTCTTTTAAATTCTTAGTCTCTGTATGATAATTTCCTGTGAGGATAATATCATCTACATAGACTATCAGTATTGCAATCTCTCCCTTGTCTGAAAACTTCATGAATAATGTATGATCAGATTGAGCCTGATTGAATCCTTGTTTCTTAACAAATTTTGTGAATCTGTCAAACCAGGCTCTTGGAGACTGTTTAAGTCCATATAGAGCTTTCTCTAATTTGCATACCTTTGCACCATACTTATTCTCAAATCCAGGAGGAGGTTTCATATACACTTCTTCTTCAAGCTTTCCATTTAAAAAAGCATTCTTTACATCCAACTGTTGCAGTGGCCAGTCTAGATTAGCAGCAAGAGATAAGAGAATTCTTACAGTGTTCAACTTTGCAACTGGTGCAAAGGTTTCTGTGTAGTCAATGCCATAGGTCTGTGTGTACCCCTTAGCAACTAACCTCGCCTTATACCTCTCCAGACTTCCATCTGCTTTGAACTTAGGAGTGAAAATCCACCTGCAACCAACAGTTGGTTTGTTTTTAGGTAACTCTACAAGTTTCCATGTCTGATTCTTTTCAAGAGCCTCCATCTCCTCCAAAACAGCTTTCTTCCACTCAGGTTTAGATAGAGCATCCTGTATAGTTGAAGGAATAGAAATAGAAGAAACACTAGAAGTAAATGTTGCAAAGGATAAGGATAATTTAGAATAAGAGACATGGTTTGAGATAGGGTATTTAACACATGTTCTTCTTTCTTTTCTGAGGGCAATTGGGAGGTCAAGCTGACTAGAAGTATTACCTTTTTCACTCCTTGTCATTGAGTCAGAATCATGGACAGTGGCAGGTTCTTGGACTTCCTCTACTCTTTGATTTTAGACTCTTCTCTCATAAACTTTGCCAAAGAACTGACTTGTCTGTTGTTCTTTTTCAATTGGTTCAGGTGTATTTATTTCATTATTTGTTAGTCCTTGATCATTTTCAGATGTAATATCATCTAGATTAATATCAAGAAAATTAAGGTTTTCATGGATATGTGGTAAAGTTTGAACATCTTCTCTTAAATTCTCCCCCTGAAGATGTGTATCAAAAAAAGGCTGTTCTTCCACAAAAAAAGTGTCTAGAGTAACAAACATTTTCCTGGTTATAGGATCAAAACATTTATACCCTTTTTGAGTGGAAGAAACACCTAGAAATACACACTTTGTTCCTCTGTGATCAAATTTACTTGCAGTTTTATCAGGGTTTTTTATAAACACTGTGCAACCAAAAATTTTTAGGGGAAGAGTATTAACCAGTCTAGTTGTAGGAAAGTAATGCTGCAATGAATTGATAGGACTTTTAAATCCTAAAACTTTTGATGGCATACGGTTAATTAAGTAAGTAGCATGTAATACAGCCTCTCCCCAAAGATATTTTGGTATGTTTGTAGAAAACATAAGTGCACGAGTGACTTCAAGTAAATGTTTGTTTTTTCTCTCTGCAATTCCATTCTGAGCTGGTGTATTGATACAAGAGCTTTGATGGATTATACCTTTTTCAGCAAAAAAAGTGTTCAGGTTTTGAGAAAAATATTCACGGCCATTATCACTTCTTACCATTTTAATTTTGGTATTGAATTGAGTTTGGACCATAGCATAAAAATCCCTAAATACTTTCTCAACTTCAGATTTTTCTTTAAGCAAAAAAACCCAAGTGACCCGTGTATGATCATCAATAATAGTTACAAACCATCTCTTTCCCTTTAAAGTTGGTACTCTAGATGCCCCCCAAATGTTATGTACCAAAGTAAAAGGACTGGTAGGTTTATAACTGTGGGGAAGATAAGAGTTTTTATGATGTTTTGCAAGTGCACACATATCACAATGAAGCAAAGAAATATTTTTATTCAGAAACAATTGAGGAAACATCCTTTTTAGGTAATAGAAATTAGGGTGTCCTAGTCTATAGTGAAGCAAATACAACTCCTTATTATTTGAAAAAGAAACAGTTTGCAGACAATCATTTCTTGGACCTCTTTTACTTGATTGAGTCCCTTCATCAAAGATATAGAGTCCATCTTCCTCCCTAGCACTGCCAATCATCTTCCCCGATGCTAGGTCCTGAAAAATGCAATAAGAAGGATAAAAAATAACACAACATTGTAGATCTTTAGTTAGCTGACTAACAGAAGCAAGATTGCAGGAAAGATTAGGGACATGAAGGACTTTGGATAGATTAACAGAAGAGGAAATATTAATATTTCCCATCCCTGCAATGGCTGACAAGGAGCCATCTGCAACTTTAACCTTTTTGTCCCCTGCACAAGGTTTATATGAAGAAAAGAGGTTTGAAATAGAGGTCATATGGTCAGTAGCCCCTGAGTCAATGACCCAGGTGCTTTTAGGTTTCCCAGAACAAAAAAATGAATAGGTACCATTCTGGGTATAAGAACAAGAGGAGGATTCAGATGGAAGTTTGTAATTTTTTTGAGTATTCAGAAGGTTGAGAAGTTGCTCTATCTGTTCCCTTGTGAAGGAAGGCTGTGTGAAGTTGACTTGTGAATCTTGTTGAGTCTCATTCATAGTTGCTTGTAGAGCCTTTTTCTTTCCAGCTTCTGGTGGTTTCCCATGAAGTTTCCAGCAGGTATCTCTAGTGTGCCATAATTTTTTGCAGTAGTCACACCAAGGTTTTTTCTTGTCACCACTTCTGACCACCATTGCTGATGAGTCTCCAGGATCCTCATGAGTTATTGAAGTATTATACATCACCTTCTTCCTACTATCTTCCAGTCGGATCTCAGAAAACACTTCTCTGATTGATGCCAGAGGTTTTTTTCCAAGTATCCTTCCCTTGACTTCATCTAGGTCTCTATTTATGCCTGCTAAAAACATATAGACCCTGTCATTCTCTTCTCTTTTCCTATGCCTTACAAGATCCTTGGCACTCTCCCATTCTTCAGCCTCATAACACTGATCTAATTCTTGCCATAGAGATACCATTTCATTATAGTATGAAATGATATCCCTATTTCCTTGTTTAGATTGCCACAGTTTGGTTTTGAGTTCAAAGATCTGAGAAGAATTCTCAAGATCTGAGTAGGTTTCCTTAATAGAGTCCCATACCTCTTTTGCAGTCTTCATAAACATATGAGGTTTGGCGATTGATGCATCCATTGAACTGAGAAGCCAGGCTGTCACTAGTGAGTTTTCTGACCTCCAGGTACTGTAGCCATCTTCACCAATTTTCTTCTCTTTGATCTCTCCAGTCAGGTATCCCAGTTTGCCCTTGCCATCAATTGCTAATTTGACAGATTGTGACCACTCTAGGTAGTTTCTCCCATTCAATCTATGGCCAGTGATGAGCATAGATGAATTAACCGTGGCCTGATAATTTGTCATTGAGCTAATATGGGGGTTACTGGTATGTGAATGAAGAGAGGAGTCAGAGTATTCGAATTCCACCATCGGAAGGTGTGACTTCAAGGCTCTGATACCATGTAGGTTTTAGGAATATAATTTCCTTGAATAATAATGCCAATCGGCCAGGGTATTTATACAAATATACAAGCAACTAATCAGCTAATTTAGATCCTAAAAAATAGGATCTTGATTGCTACGTGATTATCTCTAATTTACAGCTAGTATTCTAATCCATTTGGCTAACTAAGTACACAAAAATTAAATCATGTAACATTTTCTACAATAATGTAACATTTTCTACATAAATATATCTCAAGACTGGGAGTGCAGAATCCTAGTGACTATCATCACATGGAGTGCCTAAGAACTGGATCAACACTAAGTGCAGAGTTCGTTCTAAATATATCTCAAGACCCGGAGTGCAGAATCTCAGTGACTATCATCACATGGGGTGCCTAAGAATTGGATCAACACTAAGTGCAGAGGTATCTGGTCCAGTGATTGTGAGATCATTTAGTCCTCAGAGAATTATTGTGCTGGATTACGTAATGAGCCTAATGGCTCTCTTTGTTTTAATCTTCTATAGAGCATCCCGTATCTTCCAGTATTAGGTAATGCTCCGCCTGTTTTAATATGAGAATGCAACTGGGATCTATATAGGGTATCTACATGTCTCCAGTCAAGTATATGGATTTGTTCGAGAAATATTCAAGCCTATTCTGTTAGTAAGATGATTACACCCTCATTGATTGAGCTAGTTCGATACCCATATAGTATTTCAACTTTCCTATATATTGTGTAGAACTGACTGAAGAGATGACCTTCCAATTGATCGATACCTTCCTCGCCATTATCAATGACCACAATATATTATCTACTTCTACCACAAGGTGGATATGTTTTCCACTGTTTTAATGAAGACCAAACCACTTTTGCAAAAATTGATCGAGTCCATAGTGAGAACGTCAAAGTATAAATACTAAATCAAACTACCCTCGGACATGGGTTGGGCACATTGTTTCTTTGCCATAGTATTGCAAACTGTTGAAGGGGGAGCCTTGGCGCACTGGTTATGGTGTTGCTGTGTAACCGAGAGATCACAGGTTCAAGTCTTGGAAACAGCTTCTTGTCTAAATGACAAGGGAAAGCTTGCTCCTTATACATCCTTGTGGTGAGACCTTTCCCCGGACCCTCAACTTGCGGGATACCAATGTGCACTGGGCTATCTTTTATTGCAAAGTGTTCTCATCTAAATAGCGAAAACTCCAGCCAGAAACACCAGTGATGACTACAGCAAATCCTAGACCAGCAACCATCCTGACTCCTCCCTTGCACGAGGGGAGCACTAGCTACTTTGCCCGAGGCCACCACTTTAGGCTAGTAATGTGACACAAAGAATAGACGCAAGAAAAAAGGCACTGCTGGACTACGCCCAGACAAACTAAGGCTAACACGGCAACTCACTAGGGTTAACATAAAAGAACAAACTTTGACCTCTAAACTAGAGTTTCGTTACTTCGTAGAAAGGCACCACGCAGGGATTAATTCTCTCTCCCAGAGTTTATCCAAAATAATTATATAAACGGGTTGGCATCTTGGTCAGCGACTCGGTGTTTAAATTTGCATAATGCGAATTCGCGATGTTTTTCTAGATTGCGCGTTGCATGTCTCATTGTGCAATGAGATCATCTCATTGAGATGTAAGCCTCAAATTTTAGTACAATACTACAACAACAACAATTTTTCATCAGGCTAGAGGACCCCTTTTAAAATGAAACCAACCGGGTTATGTCACTCCTAAATAAGATAAGGTTTCATAATCGTATACTTGGGAGTGTAAGCTAGAGCAGAGCTACCTATTTTTTTCTTTCATCTGAGTTTCCTTACAAATGAGTTGAAGAAAGAAAAGCAAGACAGTAAGTATATCGACTTCCTGTAGAGGGGATAATTAACCAGGAACAACCTAAGCATATGGATGTAATGTTGAATAAGAGAGCTGTTGGGTATCGAGAAAAGAAAGAGAAGAGATTCCCCACCTTTGGAAGTGCCAGCTCTGGATGTCGGCAATGATTTGTCGCGTTGCAGAATAGCAGAGAGAGTAGAAGTTTCATAGGGTTATCCTGTAAGCTCAGCTTCTTAATGGAAAAGTAAAATGGAGTTTAAAGTTTAAACAGCAAGCCAAAATTAAACATATCCTCATGATGTAAGACTTAAAAAATGCCTCATGCTCGAATTGTGCAAGCCTAGCCATATCCACTATTGGGTATAGCCTCTAGATACAACTGTGCTAAAATGTTTGTGGGCCTATTTGCATTGTGCAATTTTGAATATTGATTTTGATTGACTTACGACAACAACAACATTACCCCAATGGCGTAGGCTCCCCACCTACGATGGGGTAAGAGGAGTCGGATGTATGCAGCCTTACCCCTGTACTAAAGCACAAAGAGATTGTTTCCGGATTATCCATGATGAATGTATGGACTGACTGCTGCTTCATAACAAAGAAGCGCAAACAGTTTAGTGAGCCATTTTGCTTTATTTCATCATATTCCCAAACTAAAAATATTGAGTCTTTGGTTCCATTGGAAATCATGGAAACCGTTGATTTAATACATAATGTCATACATAAGAAAACAAGGATTCTGGTTAATGAAGTCAGCGCTGGTGAACTGCCAAGTATGTGAAAGATATTCAGTCATTAGAGTGGCTTCTGGTTATGGGTTTCCTGGTGGGGAGTAGCATTGATGTGATAATCATTAATCCACAATTTACCTTGTTCTTAGAGTAATTTCATAGTGACCCTCGATCACTTTAAATCAATTTATTGGTCAAGTTGAGTCAAATCTGTCCAGGGAGTCTGACCCAACCGAACTGGGATTTTAAGAAGACCACCTGAAAGTTTAGGTAATACTCTAACATGCTGGAAGTGAAGGTTTTAGCTGGTGAAACCTTAACATCAGATGGCCTAAGGAAGTAATAATCTCTCGGAGAAGGATATATTATGCTGTGTAATCTCTAAGTCCTGCCAATGGGTCTCTGTTTAAGTACAATAATCTGCGGGATGAGCCTATACAACTAGGATTTTGAATTTGACAGTGGCGGGGTTAATACTATTTATAGACTTAAATGTTATCAATTTTATACTGGGAGATTAAATGCCACAGTACTAATGGGTTACATGGAATACTATCAGAGATTCAGAAGCCTGAACGTGAAAATGTCACAATATGGTTTAGAAGTAAAATTCGCTCTTCTGAAAACATCTTAATAAGAAAGACACATGCAAAGCATTAGCATTATGGAATAGTTGTATGGTTTGAACACATTTTATGTATGCTTTTCAACTCATGGATGAATGGCTAGATGCAGTCTTGATTTGATATGAAAAGGTCAAGTATGTACTTCCCCTGTCTCATTTCATTTTGCATAGTTTTCTTTATAATATATTCCAAAGGAAAAAGTGTCAAATAGGCCCCCCTACTGATACAAAAAAGTCAATTAGGTCCCCGAACTAAAAAAACATCCAATTAAACCCACGAACTAAATATAACGAGGCAAAACAGTCCTTTTAGCAGGATATTAACCGTTCCCAGTTAAGTTGCATGAGTGGCAAATGATGTGGCATGCTTTTACATTTTCTTTTTCTCTTTTTCTCTTTCTTTCCTTTTTCATTATCTTTTTTTAACTGCTTAATTACCTGCTAAAAGGACAGTTTTGCCTCATTTTTTTAGTTTGTGGGCTTAATTGAGTGTTTTTTGAGTTCGGGGGCTTAATTGACTTTTCCGTCTTAGTAGGGGGGCCTATTTGACACTTTTCCCTATTCCAAACTATGTCAACTTTATTAATTCAAATACCACTATCTAGTGTGCCCCATGTATGGTCTAGATTGTTATCGTTCTTAGTTTTTTGAAGTGCTGAGTGGTAGAGAATCAAGCGTTTCATGGTTCACTTTTATCTCTTGGGAAAAAGCACTGACTACTAACCACTTTGGCAGCTACCTTTCCATAGAAGGTTGATGCTTGTCGAGGAAGAGGTGATCAAACCCCGAAACTATGAGCATGATTTATTGTGGAAGAGTGATAATGCATACTACCGATATGACCTGGAGCCATTTGAAGTACATATAATTCATTAGTATAATTCAATTGTTGTAGCTTTTTTGTTCTCTCTGACACTCCTTTCCACCTCAGGTTAGGATGAAAGAGTTTTATGACTTATCTGCTGCTACTAAGCTTGTCAAAGAGTTCTTGCCATTACGTTCATATGCGACAGATGGTCTTCTTTTTAAAGTAATTGGTTATTGTCTTGCAGTCTTACCTGTTTTTTATTTAACTATTTCCAGCATTTTGCAATGGATTGATGGACCATTCTATTCACTTACAGGCCTGGAATGATGCGTATATACCTTGGGCTCATGAAGGACTTTTAAAATGGAAATATCCAAGACGATATACAGTGGATTTTCTTTTTGATGTAATCTTAATTTTCACCAGAGTAGCTCTCCTAGTTTTCAGCACTGTTCTGGCCCCTGAGAATATATCAGAAGGAACTAATTGTGCAGTGTTTTGACAGGTGGGAGTCAATAATGATAATATACTCTATCTGCAAAGCTTTGGAAGGAGGAAGCAAATAGATTGCCGAGTGGAATTTGGAGGTCAGTGCGCCCTAGACAAAACATTTCTCCCATAGGAGGGGCAAAGCTGTCATCATTCTTCAAGTTTGTACCATTAAGCAGTTTTGACTGGAAAATCATTCAGTGATCTAGATCTCGTCAAACTGAGGGCTTTTAGTACAATGGGTGCCTGTTATCCTTTTCGTCTAACTTCTCTTCACTTTACAGGTGCATCAAATATCTCATCATCATATGCAGGCCAGATTGTAGAGTGCTCTTGGGATCACAAGAGAGGAACTTGGATTTTTGTGCGTGCAAGGACAGAAAGGTCAACTCCAGACAGTGTCAACACCTATGAGAAGGTTTGCCTTTTCTTACGTGATGTTCATTCTTTGTCATCAATCTGTATATATTCACTTGTTTTGTCAATGAATACCAGGTTAAACAGCGAATGGATGATGAAATCACAACAGATATGCTATTGAAAGAGATAAGGGATCTTTTAAGCTTACCCATCTACTCTGATAGCAGAAAAGATAATTGAGCTTTACTTCATAAGTGCATCCTGACAAGTTTTATTTGCGTGGTGCCTCCGTTATATATACATAGCCATATAGATAAAGAAGTTTCAAAGCGAATTACTGATCTTTATTCCTCTCCTCTGCCTTGGATTGAAAACAAAATATGTGCTGAACAGTGTGTAGTTCACTTGACACCACCAATGATGCATTTAGTTCAGGGTTCTGTCAGGGTTGGAGAAGCTGCGTGATATCAGGTTTTTAAACACTGGAGTGTATATATATGCATTAAAGTTTGGTTGCATATGTTGAGTGCCATTATTGATGAATATGATGGCATCAACCCTTGCTGAGTAAGAAAGAACATGGAAAATGTCATTGGAAACTGAAGACAGACTTTCCTATGCAGCATAGGCTGCAAGGCCTGCAAATTGTGAACGGATAGTTGAGGTGTAGTAAATGAAGCGAGGGATGAGCTGATTCTTCTTGAGTTTATCCATGACTTTATTTTGTCTGGTCAGAACTCACAACTGGTGGGTTTATGATGAGAATGGTAAGATTATTCAAGCTATTAAAATGGCACGACGTTGCAGACAAGAGGATTATCTTCAGTAGAGCATTTGACTGATAAGCCTAAAAGTGTACATAATTACCGAAAGCATATTCAGTCAACCACTGCATAGATGTGTGAGAAGGGCCTGTATGTGATCTAGACAGGATACATTAATCTAACATGGTAGCGTACTGGAGAGTAAAAGCAACATTTGAGACATCGATGTGCACTGACTGAGACATTAGACTGTACTGAAAGTGGAAAAAGAAGATGCGAGTTTCCTAATTTTTTGTATACAATTTTTGGTCTGAAAATGGCAGTATGGTCTGAAATGGTGCACATTATGCCGTGGACACCTCGGATATCCAGAGACCTGCTTCTCCTAGGCTATTCATACATTGGCTCAATAGATAATATACCTTAGTCTTTTGTTTTTGTTTTTGTTTTTTATACAAAAAATGCTTCATGGTGGCTAAACCCTTTATGTGATTCCTATTTTTTATAGGGAAAACTATCAAATAGGTCCTCATACTATATCAAAAAAGTCAATTAAGTCCTCGTACTATAAAATAACTCGATCAAATCCTCTAACTTTAAAAAAACACTCAATTGGGGATTTTAACTTGTAAGCAACCAGTTTACAAGTTAATTTGAACACATGTCAATCCACGTGGCAAATTTTAATATTTTTCCCATCTTTTTTTGTTTTTCTTTTTTTCCCATTCTCTTTCCTGGGCCGTCTTCTTCCGCCCAAGCCCCTGCAGGCTGCAACATGCCAACTTCCGTTTCGTTTTATTTATGAGAAATGGTGCCAAATAAGACCTTAAGTTTATGTATATACTTAAATAGGACCTTGACTTTTTTTTTACTCCTAAATAGGACTTAATTTTCTCCGTGTTCCAGGTTTGCCCCTAAATCTGTTATGCCTTATTCCCTTTCTTTTTCTGTCGACATGTTTCTCTTCCATACAATAGGCGACCTGGCAGGGAGCGGCTCCAGCCTCCAGGTGAGTCAGCGGCATCAGGTGAGTTGGATGTACGCAGTGGCGGACACAGGCAGTGGCTAATGGGGGCCACTGCCCCTCCAGGAAAAAAAATTCTTAGGTATATTTACCCCGAAATTTTAATATATATGTATTTATATGTATTTTTTTACACTACCGCCCCGCCAATCGAAAATTCTTGCGTCCGCCGCTGGATGTACGGCATCAGCGACGGTGGACGGCGGCACGGCGTCGGCGTTGGTGGTTGGCGGCAGATATCTCCTCCTCCTCTCCCCTTTTCTTGTGTCGGTCAGTCGATGTAGCAGTTTTTCTCCCGCAGGTGTGGTTGCTTTTCTTTTGCTGATGTGACGATCAGATCTGTTATGCCTTATTCCCTTTCTCTTCTTTTGATTTTGGAGGTGTAGTGCCTCTCTCCTTTTGATGGGAGGCTGCCTCTCTCAGTTTTATGGAATATAAGTTCTACTCATAGAGAAAAGGGGCAAATAAGGTCATGTACTAACCAAAAAAAGTCAAATAAGACCTTATTTAGGAGGCTTTGTACGGTCTTCGCCATTTGGGGTGGTTCCCGGTGGAATTTTTTGATGAAATTTTTTTAGCATCTTATTCAGTAAGTCTAGTTTACTCATACCAAATTTCAGCTAAAACTTCAATCGGGAAGACATTCAAATGAATTCTTGAAGATAACTGCGCACTTAAAAGCTCAGTTATCTTCAAGAATTCATTTGAATGCCTTCCCGATTGAAGTTTTAGCTGAAATTTGGTATGAGTAAACTAGACTTACTGAATAAGATGCTAAAAATATTTCATCAAAAAATTCCACCGGGAACTACCCCAAATGGCGACGACCGGACATAAGCTCTTAAATAAGGCCTTATTTGACCTTTTTTGGTTAGTACGTGGCCTTATTTGCACCTTTTCTCCTACTTCATATTATGTAAGAATTTAGTTTTGTCAATTTTGTTGGTTTTGTTGTAATGGTCAAGTGCATAAGAGATTGATGGAGTAAAGGGTCAGTTTAGTCCTCGAAGTTGCAAAAAGGGGTCAAATAAGTCCTTATATAGAAGATTCTGTCTGGACGTGCCATTTGAGGTGGCTCCCGGTAGAATTTTTTGATGAAATTTTTTGAGCATCTTATTCATTAAGTCTAGTTTACTCATACTAAATTTCAGCTAAAAATTCAATCGGAGAGACATTCAAATGAATTCTTGAAGATAACTGCGCTTTTAACAACACAGTTATCTTCAAGAATTCATTTGAATGTCTTCCCGATTGAATTTTTATCTGAAATTTGGTATGAGTAAACTAGACTTAATGAATAAGATGTTCAAAAAATTTAATCAAAAAATTCCACCGGGAGCCACCTCAAATGGCACGTCCGGACAGAATTTTCTATATAAGGACTTATTTGATCCCTTTTTTGCAACTTCGAGGACCAAACTGACCCTTATCCCGAGATTGATGTGTATTATGACTGATATTTCTGAAATTTCAGGCTACTACTTTTAGTTCTGCTGGTAATATTTGTTCACAGAGTATACACTTTTAGTTCTGCTGGTAATATTTGTTTACAAAGTATACTACGGAGTACTTGCTTTTGAAAAAAGAAGAAGTTATATTATGTAACTTTTGACTTTTTTGTTTTCTTGATTATTATGTTTTTAGAAAGTTTTATTTTTCAAATTAGGGATCTACCCTTTTAATGTTGACCTGGAGTCAAATTTACTAGATTTGGATTTTCACTTTTATTTCATTCAAATATCATTCTTACATTTCAATATAAATTAATATATACAAGTATAATTTAACAATGATATCAACATTATCACATGATGCATCATTGATAAATGATTAGTATAATTGAAGATAGAGAATGTCATTTTTTAAATAATTCTCATTGTCATGACATTGTCATAATTATATTTTAACAGTCAAGGGAAAATAAACATAAAGTATAAAGTGATTAATGTGAATTCGTTTTGTCTTGCAAACGTATAGCACACAATAAAAATTATACTCCCCCCGGTTTTTAATAAACTTCACACTTTCCTTTTTGGGACGGTCTAAAATAAACTTCACACTTCTTTATTTCCTTTTTTGGCAAAGAAATCTACATCAAAATAGTGCCAAACAGTGTCTCAACAGTGTCAAATAGTGCCTCAACAGTGTACTCTACATTAAAGTCAAATTTCTTTCCTTATTTTGTGTGAAGTCAAAGTGTGAAGATTAAATAAAACCGGAGGGAGTATTTTATAGCTTTAGCATTAGTTTTAACAATGTCATTTTTATAATGATTGACATTATAAAATTATATTGTCATTGACATTCTTATGACATTATCACAGTGTTAATATTTAACGGGTTGTTGTGTTGGTACTTTTTCCAATGCTATTGAGTCTTCTGCCCACGATTGCTTCTGCTTATTCATGTGCATGTGATATCCCTAAATTGAATCCCCATCAAAATGCATTTTTGTGGTATCCCTCATATTTGTCATCATTACAATGCCTTTTTTAGCATTGACATTTTTTTATAACATTGTCACATGTTCCAATGTCATCGTCGAAAACAAATGTCACTTTTTGGCAAGGTCACAACGTCATTTTTATAGCATTGAAAATGACATTATCATTATTACAATGTCATTTTTTAAATCATTGAGATTGTCATTTTTGAAATGTTATTTTTTGAGTGTTATTGTTGACATTGTCATTGTCAATATTGACATCATTACATTTACATTTTTCTTGATATTATACTTTGTAATATATTGTGTGTTTTTCTACCATAGCAATATAATTTTTTATGTCATTAGCATTTTTTATATTTGTTGTTACATACTCCGTATTTTTTATCAATGGTAATTTGACGTAAAATATGGCATTTTTAGTACCAACAATTTGACATTATTTTCGTTATTATAGCACTACTTTAGCCAATGACATCAAAATAACACTCCACGATGATAAGAATAATGTGTTTTAAAATAGCAATATATGTAGCAATATACGTTGTACTACGTATATACATCTTCAAATTAAATTAAATAATGGATAAGGCTCTCAAACATATTAGTATATGGAATCCAGATGTCGAACTTATCAACATCATGAAAAATTGAAATTAAGAACCGAGATGCACGGGAAAGCTCAGTAGCAAAGCCTCAGGCATAGGAGAATACATCGAATCATACACACACCAAGCACCCAAATCCGTTGGGACGGATCAGAGTAAATTCAATGTCTAATTCAGGTCATTCATATTCTTCGTCATCTTATCAATAACCTCTTGAGTCTCACTGACCGGCGCGGAATCAGTGAGTATGTTGTAGTCTCATTGAAGTCTTTTTCCCTTTCTTTGTTCCCCTTCCTTCTTTAATTTCTTTCTTCCACCCCCAATCAAATTTAAACAAATTTGCCATTCTTCATCTTCGGACCTTCAACGAGTACAAAGGAGCACAAGTGCCGCAAGAGACATCGTGGGCCATGGGTGTTGCACTGCTCCCGCAGATCTCCTTCTCTGATGCGTGGTGTGCCGACGACGTTGAGCATGGATTCACTGCTCTTCGGCCCTCTTCTTCTTCTTCTCCATCCAGCCGATTCTCTCTGCTGCTGCAAAAACTTGTTGATGATGGTGTGGTGGCTGCTGCAATGTCGCCGGAAAATGGAGGTGTGGTTGCTGCGAGGTCACTGGAGGTCTTGGACCCCATCTTCCATCGAAGGTTGTTGAAGTTCTCTGTTGAATCCCCAAGTTTACCAGCGATCTTATCTTCGTGTTCATCCACCACCGCAGCAGTCAAGGTGTTGTGACTTGTGAGTTGGATGGCTTTGCAGAAGAAAGGAGGGAAATGACCAATGGGGTCTTGGGTCTGTTTGTCGGTTGCTTTGGTTAAGAAGAAAACCATGGAGTGAAAGAAGAAAGAAATAGAAAAAAAGGAAGAGTTGCAGGCGTATGGGTGGAGGCGTGGAGCAGGGAGAAGAAAGAAAGAAAAGTAATTGCTACAAATGGGAGTAAAACAATGATAAAATTCCAAAGTAGGAGTTCCTATTGATTTATTCCCTAAATGAGAGTTATTAGTTAAATGTGCCGTTCCATTTACCAACTATACCCCTGTTTATAAACGATTTATTATACTCCGTATTTGGAAAGATTCCTTTTCCTTTGTCCGGCTTACTCGCGTGTACGCAACCTCTGCCATGAGTCCCATCTTTCTTTTCATTTCCCTTCTCCCCTCCCCCTATTTCTTTCGAGATCTAGCCTCCATCTCCGGAAAATTACATAGAATTAATAGTGATTTTTCTCTCCAATTCCGGCCACCGGCGAGTGACGACGATCAATACAGGTCAGTTTTAATGTCTCCCCCTCTTCATTCTTCTTATTCCTCTTCTTCCCCCATCTTTTCTCTTCTCTTAATTCAATCGGCGGCAGAACTTTATTTTTTCTTTTTACATAGTGTGGAGCTAAGTTTCTGGTTATCTGCGGCAATGCTCTATCTTTTCATTTTAGTGGAGTTGTTGGTTTGTCGCTTGATTAGGACCGACCGACCGATTACTTTATTTTTGCTTGAAA